ATGGCAGTCACCTTGACAATTGCTGCAGTGGAGCACACTGCTTACAGAAAGGATCGTGCTAAGAACTGTAGGGGTGTGCTGGTCATGGTACCTTTTCTACTACTCTTTTGGCGACGCCACGACCTGGAGCTGGAGCTGGAACCTCTCACAAGCATGGCAAGGGGCTGCTATACTGTGCATGCTACCTGGCTTCCGTGAAAGCTGAGTCCTATGACCTGCCCAGCGAGCCACTGGTGCTCATTAACACGATTTAATTAAATGTGTGCTTACTAGACGTCTTCAAGTTGAGTCGCTCGGAGTGCAGTGTATACCATGGAACCATTTCCAGTGGCCCCAAATACTCGACAGTTCGACGGTACAGTGTGCTCAGTCCACTTGTTCTCAACATGTTTATTAATTGTGATCCCTGCAATCAACTCCACTGCTGTTACGAACGACCTGATACTGGTGCCGCTTATCAGGTGGCCCAAGAAACCACCAGGGTTTGCAGAACAACATCGACAAGGTCTACTATAAACAGCCAGCTATGCTTCTTCGCACAGCCTGACGACAGTTTTGTTCAAAACGTGTGGAACACTGGGTTTTGTACTTAGCGTGTCCAGTAGACCAGGCCATAACAGACTTACGTGCCTTTCACCAGTGGCGTACCAACTTGGTTTTGAGTGGGGGGGGGGGGGGGCAAACTAAACCCCCTTCCCCTCCCCTCCTCCCCCCCCCCCCCCCCCCGGGACCGAGGAGCGGTGCCCTTGGTATCCCTTGGGCGCTGCCAGCCAGTGTTTGCCCTGCCCAGTGGTGGCTGTTTTAGGGGGGGGGGGGGCAAAACACATGACTTGCTCCCCCCCCCCCACTCTAAGAACTGGGGGATAAGCGCCCCCCTTGACCACCCGGTTGGTACGCCCATGCCTTTCACAGCCCTGGTCCTGCCACACCTAAAGTATTGCAGCTCCATATGAGACTCCTGTGAGGTTGATCTTGTAAGATCAGTTGAAAGTGTTCATCGAAGGGCAACTATACACTATTCTTCGGCAGCCAAGCTCACTCCGGATCACTCACTGCTTTGACATTGGCTAGAATTCTGGCCCTTCAATGGACGACCAGAGTTGATCTCAAGTGTGGCCCTCCAGCGGGTTGTCTTATTATGCCTCCTAAACAGCGTTGTGGAACTGCAAGTTCATGAGACAGCACTGAAGGGAGTTGTTTGCAAGAATTGGGCTGGTGCCTTTCAACCGTTTCGTACTGTAGAGCAACAGCCTTCCTTCTTGGTGTGGTCTTCACTGTTCTGGCAATCCCTTTATTTGCACTCACGCAGAACCCCCCTAACAATCATCACAAGCTCGAAAACATCTGTAGACAGGAAACTCGCTACCTTCACTCCCACTGGGGTAGAGCAGTGCCTATGTGCTTTAACGTGAATTGCAGACTTTTACTTGATTTCTATTTTGTGTTTCCCCCCACTTTTATTTGTTCCTTTTGCAGGGTACTGCGGGTTTCTTGGTATAGTCTTTGGCCTCTTTACTATAACGAATTGCTCTTAGCAGGATTAGACGATAAAAGCACTTCTAACGCTTTTATCCTCTAATATGGTACTCTTTGGCACACAACTGTACTATTTTATTCAACCTAACGAAAAACGGGTTTTATGTCCGTTAAGTAAGAAACGGACACATTGTCCGTCAGAATTACGACAAATTGTTTGTAAAATTACGGAAATTTTTTACAGTGTAGTCACGGCGAGGAACCCAAACGTGCTCCACGCCAGACGGATGGGCCGTTCCAAGCCGGCGGTGGTACTTTTCAAGGGCCAGAAGGTGCCGTTCTGGATCATGTACGGCAACGTGGAGTACAAGTGCAACCTGTACAAGAAAAAGATCGAAGTATGCGGTACGTGCGGCGGAGTCGGACATCGGTCCGACGTGTGTCCGCGACCGAAAGAGCAACGGTGCAAGGTTTGCAACACTCTAAACCCGACAGACGGCCACGCGTGCTCGCCGTCGTGCGGCATCTGCGGCAAGGCTCATCCCACGGGTGACACACGATGCAAGCAGCGTTTCAAGACGCCGTACATCCTGCAACAGCGGCAGTGGGAGAAGAAGAAGAAACAAGAGGAGAGCAGGTTCAAGGAAGAGGACTTCCCGCCGTTTCCGAAAGGACGGTCGCGGTCGCGTTCGCGGTCACGGAGCCGAGCATCCGTGCGGTCAACCTCGCGGCAGCGGTCCGGCTCGCGGCGGAGATCGAAGTCCAGGAGGAGGTCCAGCTCCCGACAGCGAGTCAGCTGGGCCGGGGTGACCGACCGCAAGGCCTCGGAAAAGAAGAGCAAGGAGGCCAAACGCAGAACGACAAGTTAGACGAGATCCTTGTCATGATGCGACAACTCCAGGAAGAAAACAAGGCTCTACGCGTGATGGTAGAGAAGACCGAGAAGGAGAACGCATGGCTGAGGACACAGCTTCAGCAGAAAAGCAACGAGACGGAGAAGGAACCGGAGAAGGCTTCGCCACCCGCGAAGAGGAAGATGGTCGTAAGACCGGGGCAAGAGACGGTCGCATTGGATAAGGCCGAGGCGCCGCTGCAACAGGGAGTTAACAAGCAGGTGGTCGAGCTGATGTGCAACCCCGAGTGGCTGACGCAGCTGGCTAGGCACATGGAACAACTACGTACGGCACAAGTCGTTAGAAACCAAGATGGTGAGCAGTAAAATGTACATAATTTGGCAGTGGAATTGCCGCGGGTTTGGCAAAAAGAGGGGCAACCTACAGCAATACGTGAATAACAAGGACGAAAAGGAACGACCGGATTTGATTGCCTTACAAGAGGCGAAACAACTGGCCAAACTGTCGGGTTACAAGTCCTACGGCATGGATACCAAGGAAAAGACGCAAGTGGTCGCGTTGGTCAAAAGGAACATACCGGTCGTCGTTCATGACACAGGCGTTTCAACAGTAGAACACGTGCTAATCGAGATAATCTCGGGGAAGAAGAAAGACCAGCGCAGCCTCTTCGTGCTGAACATCTACAGCAGCCCGGCGAAACGGCACAGATTCGCTTCCCCCTTCCAAGCGACCCTGAACATCGCCAGACGCCAGATACTGGTCGTGGTTGGGGACTTCAACGCCCAACATCCGGACTGGGGATACAAGATCGAACGACCCATGGGCCGAAAACTTGGGATCGACGCTCACGAATGCGGACTATCCCTGATCACCGATCCGGATCATCCGACAAGGAGAGGAGCCGCCCGACAACAAGACACTACGCCAGACCTTACGTTTGTGCGCTATGCAAAGGATGCAGAGTGGACAAACACGTGGGAAGACCTGGGTAGCGACCACTATGTGCTAAAGATAACGATCCGCGCGGGCCCTGGAAAGCCGCGGGGCAGAAAGTGCAAGATCACGGAATGGGATAAGTTCCGAAAGCTTATGGGCGAATACGAGACGGAAGACGTCACAAACATGGGCGAGTGGATGGAATGCCTGCTGGCGGCTGCCGAGCGGACGACCAAGGTGATTCCGGAAGAAGCGGACGTGGCCGCTGCGGATAGCCGACTCTTACACTTATGGGAGGCTAAGGCTAGTCTGCAGAAGCGGCAGCGTACGCAACGTAACAATCGGAACCTTCGAAGAAAGATCGCTGAACTCAGCAGAACGATCGAGACGTACGCTGACCAGGTTACGCGTCAACAGTGGCAGGATACCTGCGAAGGGTTCGACGGTCAGCCCAATGTACCCAAAACTTGGAACATACTGCGGCACCTACTGGATCCGGACGGTTGTAAGACGGCTCAGCGTAGCAAGATGTGCGAGATCATTTGAAGTCACAAGGGTGACGAGGACGACCTAGTAGAGGAGATCCGTAAGCGATATATTGGTGACAACCCGCCGAGAACACCCACGACATACGGCGGTGCAGACAACGAGGTGCTAGACGCGGACATTTCTGAGTTTGAAGTTGCCGAGACACTGCGCAACTTGAAGACCAAGTCTGCTCCGGGACCGGACGGTGTCACCAACAAGATGCTGCGGAACCTGAGCAACGAAGCCATAACCGGCATCACAAAGTACATCAACGAGCGCTGGAGACAAGGCCAGCTACCACGGCAGTGGAAAACGGCCAAAGTGGTCCTGATCCCGAAACCAAGCAAGAAGCCTCAGCTCGACGCTCTGCGCCCAATCTCGCTCACGTCCTGCGTGGGCAAGATAATGGAGCACGTCGTTCTACGGAGAATCAACGACTTCACAGAGAGGAACCAATTGTTCCCTCACACCATAATTGGATTCCGGCCACACTTGTCTACCCAAGACGTGATGCTGAGGCTCAAGCACCAAATCATAGATGGCGAAAAAAGCTCTCATCTCGACACTAGGGTGATCCTGGGCCTCGACCTTACGAAGGCCTTTGATACTATTAGGCATGATGCGGTCCTTGAGAACCTGGAGAAGCTGGGCGTAGGGCGACGCACGTTCAACTACATTCAAGACTTCCTCAGCGATCGGACGGCGCAAATCTCCATCGGTGGCGTCACGTCCGACGACATCAATCTAGGCGGGCGAGGCACACCTCAGGGCTCAGTCCTGTCGCCATATCTATTTAACGTGGCGATGATTGAGTTGCCTGCGAAGCTCAGCAAGATCGAGGGGCTGCACCACAGTATATACGCAGATGACATCACGCTCTGGATGACCGGCGGCTGTGACGGGTTCATCCAAGACACGCTACAAGAAGCGATACGGACGATTGAGGAGTACGTCACTCCGAGGGGCCTAACTTGCTCTCCACAAAAGTCGGAGCTCCTCCTCCTCAAACCTGTTCGGTCCCGCCAGCTGCCGTCGGACATCGCGCTCTACTCGCAAGGACTGCGTATCCCGTCGGTGAAGAGCATTCGCATCCTGGGTCTGCGGGTCCAGGCGGATGGCAACAACTACGAGATGATCGAATCGCTCAAGGCGGCAACTTACCAGATCACCCGGCTTATTTCACGCATCTCAGGCCGTCACTTCGGAATGAGGGAAGGAAATCTTGTACGCCTCGTCCGCGCTTTCGTCGTGAGCCGGCTGGCATACGTCCTTCCCTTCCTACGGCTCGGGGTGGCGGAGAAAGCCAAACTTGACTGTTTGATTAGGAAGGCCTACAAGCGAGCACTTGGCATCCCGGATTCTACGTCAAACGAAAAGCTGGCGGCGCTGGGCCTACATAACACCGTGGAAGAGGTCGTCGAGGCGCAACGGACGTCTCAGCTCGAACGGCTAACAAAGAGCGCGACCGGGCGTCACATTCTCGAAAGCCTGGGCATCCGCTACGAAAGACAAACGGGCGAGAAAATAGACGTGCCGAGACGGGTCCGGGAGAAGCTTACCATCCCAAACCTGCCACGTCACATGCACCCCGTGCACCATGTGGAGCGACGAACGGCGAGAGCCAAGGCCCTTCGAAGACTCCTAGAGAAGGAAGAGGGCGTCTACTACACGGACGCTGCGAGGTACGACAGGGATGCCATGGCCGCAGCCGTGGTTGACAAGCAAGGGAAGATCGTTGCGAGCTGCAGTGTCCGGACGACAGAACCGGAGGTAGCCGAGGAAGTGGCCATCGCTCTGGCACTCAAGCTGCAAGACGCTAAAATCATTGTCAGCGATTCACAGATGGCGATTCGCCAATACGCCAAGGGACGGATCTCGCCGGTTACGCTTCGAGTACTAGGTGATCCTGAAAAGACTGCGAAGGTGAAGCTGATCTGGACTCCAGCACACTCGTCGCTCCCCGGCAACGAGGAGGCTCACAACGCGGCCCGAGGTCTCACTCGCCGGGCCGGAGCAACGTCGGACCCCTCCATCGAATCGTCGACGGGTGGCGACAGACTGGTTACGTTCCGAGACATCCTCGATCATTACGCCGGCGAAAGGATGCGCTACCCTCCGGCGCATCCCTCGCTGGACAAAAGACAAGCGGTAGCTTGGCGGCACCTATCATAGTCCTGCCCAGCTCAGCGGATGGTATCCGGATCGCTACAAGGGAGACTGCCAGCTATGTGGTGCAAGAGCGACTCTTCGCCACATTATTTGGGACTGCAGCCGGCTCGACCGCAAAGCCCAGCCACTACTAAAAAAGATCACCAACCAAGAGAGCTGGGAAGCTCTTCTTCTCTGCACCGACCTTGAGGTGCAGGAACAAGTCGTCCGACTGGCCGAGGACGCCGCTGGAGTCCAAGGGATTCTGGCCGTCGCCTAAGGGGTGATTGGGAGGGGACTCCTAGATGGGCCTCTGACCAATCGCTTAGTCTTTCTGGGCGCAATTAAAGGTTGCCTGCTGCTGCTGCTGCAGCGTGCAAGGACAAGGCGAGTGGTTTTCCGCGCCGCCGGGATGGCGGCGGCTTCGTGGGACGAACGTATAGTCCTTGTACATTCGGACTTCGCTCCTATGGAACAAAATCCGATTACGCCGGTTACGACAGGACGATTGCCTTGGGACATGACTGCTGCTCGACTGCCCCATAGTAAGAGAATGTACGCTTAGCAGCATACTTCTTCAAGACACAATCATTCATTCAAGATGAGAATATCTCACCGACTGGCGGGGACCGACGTCGACGACGGTATCACCGTCGTTTTGGGCGATGAACAGTCGACGGGGTTAAACCAAGAAGGACAGCGCAGTGGTCTACAGAGGATTGTTAACGCCATCAAAAGAGACGGACGCCGGATATGAGATGTTCTTGCCGACAGGCCAAGTGCTCGTCCGGAAGTTTACCGGCATGCAAAATATCAATATATTTTTTTATAGCACGCATACTTGTGTTAAATGGGACATGAAATGATGCTTTAACTTCTTCTTCCTTAGCTCAGAAGAGAACAGTGGAATCACGCGGTCGTGACATGCTAGGGCACCGGTGCGATGACCCCAAGCTTCCACCGTGCTTTTTAAGCACACCATAGAACTTGTCATTCACAAGTGCACTCATGTGCACTCATTGGCCAAGAACGCGAATTCATATATTCATCGATGAATTGATTGTTGACGAGCGCATATGTCCGAGTGACGCAGTTTTCGTGTCAAATGCGTGAGCTGGGGTCGGCCGACGTCATTTTGGCTTTTGTAGGCATTGAAAAGAGGATATTTAGAAACAGACACACATCATAGCACACGGACATTAATGAGTACAAAACGGGCCCAGCTACAGAAAATAAATATTACACTCGTAAAAAATAATTGTCTGTAACTTGTTAATTACAAAGACGAACACACCTCTGAGCATATTGGGGAGCAGGACAGACCGTGACGCCCCAAGCGGTTAACTTTACAACTACATGGATGGGGACAACAAATACAATGACTCAGCGCTCGGCCGACATAGCCGAACGTGGCGTCAGCGTTCGGCTGGAGTTCGTGTTCTCCGGTGAGGGGGAGGAGGGGCCCTTTTGTTTCCACTACGGCCTGCATGAACAATGCAGCTGCACTCTGCCCAGCTCAGCACAAAAGCCGAAGTGGGTCAAGCTCGCATTCTATGAGGATAGATCCGGCACTTAACGTCGCTTCGTTGATTGTTAGTATTTTTTATATTAAACTGTGCCCCGCGCTCTATTGTAGAAGATGACATGGACATGCCTATAAGGCCTGGCGGTATGTGCACAGGCCCTGTGTTGAGTAAACACCGAGCGTGGGGAAAACAAACGGGTCAGAGCGCCCCCTATAGTTCGATCTCCTGCCCAATAGACCTTTTCATTTCAGTAGTTGCCTGACCGGCGGGTAGAGGGCGCTGGCGCACTCGGCGCCAGCGCCCTCTACCCGCCGGCGGAGGCACTGCAGGCCGCTGCTCCCACACCCCCGCTGCTCCCACACCCCTCGCACTGCAGGCCGGCGAAGGGCGCTGGCCTGCAGGCCAGCGCCCTCCGCCGGCCTGCAGTGCGAGGGGTGTGGGAGGTGGTGTTACCTGGAGGAGACGGGTTTCGGGAGCCTGGAGGTGGCGGCGGAGGTGAGTTTCGAGTGTCGGCTTTGTGTGAAGCTTCAGCAGGTAACTGGGGAATGGGAGGGTAGAGTTCGGGAGATTGAGGCCCAGCTTAAGGCAGAAGGAGAGAAGCGGGTGGGTCTCGAGGCCCAGGTAGAGGAGCTGACTAGGCAGCTTAATCATGAGAGGGAGCAGCGGGTCGGCCTCGAGAAGCAGGCGGAAGAGCTGGGGGAAGTATGGAAGGCGGGTTTAGAGGAGCGTAAGAGGGAGTGTGCCAGTAGGGTAGAGCGCCTGGAAGGGGTAATTCGAGCGAGTGAGAGTAGCGAGGGAAGAAAGGAGGAAGTGTCAGTTCTAGCGGGACGAACCACCAGTCTGCAGGATGGGGTCCCTGGTGGTCGGGAATCCGGCCTGTTGGCAGGCGGGCTCGACGACGCTGGAGAGCTGATTGAACCTCAGCTCAATGGCGCCTTCGAGCAGCAGGCGTTGGGCAGTCAGGTGACAGGAGATAAGTCGCAGGACAAAGGCGCGCAGGCACCAGGGGGATCTAGGGTACTGGTAGTGGGGAGCTCTAACGTAGCACGGGTTGGGAGGGGTGTACATAACAGGGTGAAGGGAGACCAGAGGGTAACCGTAGAGGTCCAGCCAGGAAGTGTATGGTGGATGCTATGACCGCAGCACGTGAGGGGGTGTGGGATAACCGGGAGGGAAGGAACCTAGTAATAGTTCACGCGGGGCTTAATGATGTGCTGAAGGGTAGGAGCCAGAACCTCGGAAAGCAGCTAAACGTGGGAATACGTAAGCTGAGGGACGTGTCTGAGAATGTGCATGTGGTTGTGTGCACCATTCCAGAAGTTCGGGGGCAGTCCGGGTTAACGGAGAGGAGGGTTGTCGAAGCCAACGGAGTAATTAAGGGTATGAGTCGACAGCTTCGGTACGACGTAATGGAAGTAAACAGAGAGGTGTACGAGGCTGGCTCCCGCCCTTTTGCAGATGGCATTCACTACAGTGAGGCCACGGGTTACAGGGTGGGGGATAGGATGGGCCGCACGGTGACTGCTTTTTTGGGGGGACCGAGGGCCCTGGGGGCACTGAAGTAATTGAAAACCCAACGAAGTCAGGAGAGGCACCCAGGGTTAAAAAGAGGAGAAAACGTAAGAACAGGTATAAAAAACCAGCACAATCAGACATTGGATATATTAACATGCAGGGTGGTAGAAATAGGTTAAAATGGGAAGAGGTAGAGGAGCAACTAACAAACGAGGATATAATGGTGTATGGGTTTGTGGAAACACATCTCAGAGACATGGAGCAGCCACCTTGCAACCCTGACTATGTGTGGGAAGAAAACTGAATGGAGGGAACGAGGAAGGGAGGTGGAATTGGAGCATTTATTAAGAAGAATATGAACTTTCAAAGGATCAGAAAGGAGTGCGCCGAACATTTGTGGCTGAAAGGAAAAGTCACTGGGGAAGCAACAGTCCTTGGAGTGGTTTACTTATGGACAGGGACAGGTGCTAAAGAGGAAAACAGAAAAATGATTGATTGCATATCAAGAGACATTAGTGAACTACGGGAAGGCTCCGAAATAATTATTATGGGAGACATGAATGCCCATATTGAGGGTCTGGATGGGTATACGGACTCAACTGGAAGCATATTACTAGAACTGGTGGAAAAACATGACTTAGTTTTATGTAATACCAGTCAGAAGTGTGACGGGCACATAACTTGGGAAACTGGCAATCTGCATTCAACTATAGATTACGTACTCATGTCACACAAAATATATGGTAAGTTACAAGTAATGAAAATAGATGAAGAAGGTTCCAAAAGTCTTGGTAGTGATCACAAACGTATTAAGCTGAATTTTGCCAGAGAAGTAAATGCTGAAACTAGACAACATAATTCAAAGCAAACTTTCTGCAGCGACAAAGAGTTGGAAATAGTTGTTGAAAGAATAGAGGCAGCAGTTTCAGGGCAACGGCATACAGATTGGACCTATGAGAGCCTAACTAGGCTTTTTGCTCTAGAACTAGACAAAGTTAAGAGTAAACGAAAGGGGAAGCAAGGACATAGACCAAAAAGCTGGTGGGACAAAGAAGTGAAGCAAGCGATACAAAAACGTCAGGAAGCCTCTAGAGAACACAGGTATTCCAAGCGTAGTGGGGAGTCCGAAACGGAAGTAAAAAGAAAATGGGACAATTTTATAACATGTCGCCGAGAGGCATCCAGTTTGATCAATGCGAAAATTCAGAGAAAGGGTGAGGAATGGATGAGTAATGTAAGTAAGAAAGATAGAAACGCTGCCAAGAAGTTTTGGGAGCACTTGAACTCACTCGGTGAAACAACGCAAGCTAGACAGAGGTTCATACTCTCGCATCAGGGAGATCAATTAGAGGGAGATGATGCGATACAATATATAGGAGCAGTGATGGAGGAGAAATTTCGGGAACGGTTACATGTGGAAGATAGGAGAACCGAAGGAAGTAGCAGTCCAGTTTGTGACATCGCGGATTTTGGACAAAGAGAATGGGAAAAGGCGGAACGAAGAGTCCCTAGTGGCACGTCGACAGGCACAGACGGTATCCCTATCAAGCTGGTGAAGAATTTGGGTCCTAAATCTAAGGCAAAACTAAGGGAGGTAGTGAGTAGCATGATAACAAAAGGAAATATTCCAGATGAATGGAGGCTTAGTAGGATGAGTATGATATATAAGGGAAAGGGAGATAAGTCTGATATTAGGAATTATCGTCCTATAACCGTGACAACGGTTATTTACAGGTTGGTAATGCAGATTATAAAGAACAGACTGGAGGAATGGGTAGA